ACAGGTAGAGAGGCCAGGCTTGGGGGGATACTGTGAGCACCCCAACCCCAGCCTGTCTCTGCCTGGGCAAGAGCTCCTGCTGGGAGCCAGGCCTCAGTGACTCTGTGTGTGTGTTTGGAGGGGGCAGGGAGCTAGGGACCCTGGAAGTCAGGGCACCAGGGCAGGTAGAAACAAGTGCTTGAAGATGAATCTGATGGCCGGGCCCAGGAGATTGGTCCAAGAGTAAGAGGCCATTGTAGAGAAGGTCTCACCTCTAAAGAAGATTGACACAGAGAAGCATTTGTCTTTATATTGGGTGCCCTGGGGTCCCCAGAAGCACCATCTCTCTGGCCAGCTCTGGAGTAAAGCTACAGAGAACTCTAGACAAGCACTGAAAGGATCTGACAGTAGACATGTTTTGCTGTGGTCACTGCATCTCTGAGGGCCTGGCAGAGGGGCCAGATGGTTATCTAAAGAAGACAAGACATTTGGGGGGTTCAGAACAGAACCACCCAGGATATCAGAAGGCATGTCAAAGCCACCAGGGTGATGACAGACACCAAAGGGTCTGGGAGAGGGGGCAGCCTTACAGGACTAGATGTGGGGACACTGAGTAAGAGGACCCAGGGGATGAACACAACTGAGATATGGGGAAGAGGTCATGGCTGAAGAACCCCAAAGCCTACTCGGGCTCTGCTTTACCCAACATTCCATGTGATCCAAAGAAGATTCTAGATGGAGACTGGCAATCTCTGACCAGTCATTCTGGTTTCATGGGGAATATGTCTAGAGGGAGCTGAGAGTCTGTTTTATGGCTTGTGGGCATGGAGATAATGGATAGAAGGGTCTTTAGGATGTCCCCGGGGAATAAATGGGCACGTGAGGTAAGATTTTGAATACTGTTCTCTTAATTCCTAGAGACTTTGTGGGGCACATACATATGAAGTGCCATTGTGTACAGGGTGCTCAGGGTAGGCCTTGTGGAGATGGCCCTATCAAGAAAGGCTACATGGGGCAGGCCTCTCAGGGGAATTGATATAGGCAGGGCAGCTCTTGAAAAGGCTCAGAGGTCCCCAGATGTCAGACTCTTGTGGCTGGGACAGTTGTTGGAGGGAGTAGTGGCTAACTGGGTGTGTCAGGGTGGCTTCAGGTCTCCATGAGTTGGTTGGTTTATCTAGAAACTGCTGGCACATTTTAAACAGTGCAATGGCATCTGGTCTTTTTACCATACCACTACCTTGGTGCTGCAAGGAGGTAAGTGGAGCAGGTGGAGCAGTGGAGGTATGGCCTGGCGGGGCTCAGACCACTGAATAGAAGCTCCTCTTGATGTTACATATCCAGAACTGGGCTGTAACAGAGTGAGGGCACTCCAGTGCAATTCCTTTCCTAAACAACCCCAACTGTGCAGCTTCTACAACAGGAACATATTCTCTTAGAGACCAGGAGCCTAACATCAACTATCAAGGTGTGCAAAGGCCATGCTTCTTCCCAAGAATCCAGATGGTGGTCCTTCCTGTCTGTTCCAACTTCCAGGGTCCTTAGGCATCCCACTCTGGTCTCTGCCTCTATTTTTGTATAACCTATTCCTTCTGTAACATTTTGTGCCTCATGTCTTCTGAGGACACTTGTCATTTGAGTTAGGCCTATCCTAAATTAAAAATAATGTCATAGCAAAATCTTTATATATTTTTGAGGACCCTTCCTTTACCTAAATAAGGTCACATGCATAGGTCCCAGGATCAGGAGATAAATATGTCTTTCTGGAGGCTACCATTCACCCCACTGAAGAGATGTCCCTAAGTGTTGAGTGAATAGTAATGGCCTATATGGACCATGTGACTGACCTTGTTCTATCTCTGACCTCATCTCTTATATTTGTACCTCCTGCTGTTACAACCCTACCCCATCCCAGATGAATCTCTAATACTCCAAGCTCAGCCATGCACATCCCTCCCCTTACATGTTCTTCTCTACATTTGCCACATCCTATATGTCATCTTGGTGAGGCGAATACATTTCTACCACACTTACCCAGCTACTGCTAAGACAACCTGAACATTATAGATGCCCACCTATATGTGTGGATGGGGTAAATGATGGATGGATGGATGGTGGGTGGGCAGTTGATATATAGACAGTTGGTGGGTGAGCAAGTAGGCAGTTGGGTAGATAAATAGGTGACTTAATGAGTTAATGAGTTGGTGAGTGGATAGATGGATGAGTCATGATGGATGGGTGGATAGATGGTTGAGTGGTGGGTAAGTAGATGGATAGATTATTGGATGAGTGGGTGGGTGGATGAATTGGGTGTATGTGCATGGATAAATTGGTAGATGGGTGAATGAATGGGTGAGTAGATGGATGAATAGACAGATGATTGGATTAGCATATGGGTGAGTAGAATGGTGGGTGGATGGGTAGATATATGGATAGATGTATGAGAGGTTAGGTAGATGAATAGTTGAGTATGTTATTGTGGGATGTGAGAATGGGTAGATGGGTGAGTGGATGGATGGATTGTTAAGTAGATGGGTGGATGAGAACACAGGTGGATGAGTTGGTAGATAAGTGGTTGCATGAATGAATAAATGGGTAGATGGCTAGATGGGTATGAAAATGAATGGGCAGATAGGTGGCTGGATGAATGAGTGGATGGGTGAATGGATGATATAATGGATGTATGGTTCCTATGGATGGGTAGGTGGGTATATAATGGATGTATGGATGCTATGGATAGACTGATAGGTAGATGAGTATGTGCATCAGTGAATGGGAGATAGATGAATGAATGGGTGCATGGGTGGATGGGTGGTGGGTGGGTAAATGGGCAAGGATAGGTAGATGAATGTATGGATATAGGTAGATTAGTGGGTGGATAGGTAGGGACATGGATGGTGGATGGCTAGGTGGGCTTGGTGGATGAATGGACAGATGGGTGGTTGAATAAGTACGCATCAGTGGATGAATAAGTAGATAGAAGGATGGGTAGGCAGATAGATAAATGAATGGGTGGATAAAAAGATGGATGGATGAATGGTTAAATGTATGAGTAAGCAATGAGTGGATGTTTGGGTAGATGTGTGGAGACTATATATATATATATATATATATATATATATATATATGGAATAGATGAGTGGGAGGATAGAAGGATGGATGATTGATTAGAGGATGGAAAGACAAGAGGGTAGATGAATGGGAGTTAGAAATGTGGGCAGTCAAAGAGACAGACAGATAACTGGATCTTTGAAGAACTTTAACAAGCAGAATTCACTAAGCAGAAATGAGAGAAAGGAGAGCCCAAGACTGTCCTGGAACACCCAGTGAGGGAGGGGGGCGAGGCAGTCCTGGAAGGGTTTATGAGAGGTGAGGACTAATCCAAAAGGTCTGGGCAAAGTGGTTGATTATACTCAGGACTTTAGAGAAGTCAGAGGATGTCAGGGTGTCAGGCAGGTACCAGAAAAGACAGGTATCCACTGCTGTGAGAGTGAAGGCCAACTACAGTGGAGTGAGAAGCCACCCTGGGAGCTTTAGGGGTGCAGCAAGGGACAAGTGGAGATAGCAGGAGGTGCCAATAACTCCAGGTTAGGGTGATCAGGAAGGGGCCAGCCTAGGAAAGGGGGTGAGAGCTGGAGCCTGGATACCCTAATGCCAACTCCATAGGGGCCTAAGTCACTGTAGAGTTGACAGAGAGTGGACAGACCCACAGTGGGCTTTCAGGAACTCATGGGTGGGAACACAGTGCATCGCCCTCAAGGGATCAGGTGGCTTTGGGCCTTCCTCCAGCCACAGTAGACACTGAAGGCTTCCAGAAGATTCACCGGTTGGGAAGATGGTCTGCCCGATCCAGGCCCCATCCTAGCCTCAACTCTGCCATGCCAGGGCTGTCTCAGAAGCCCAGTCCTCTTTATTTCCACCTTGCTGCTGTCTAGATTTCCTCTTTAAGGATGAGCTTGCTTCTTCCAAGCAATACCCCAGGGCCACTGCACACCCTGAGCTTAGGAGTAGCTCTTGGATATGTATGCTGTATGCTGCCCTGGAGATAGATAGACCTGGAGGTCTGCAGACCTCCAGAGGTCACACCCCACAGCATGGCTAGCAAAAGACCCTGCAGTGAAAACAAAACTAAAAACTAATGCTAACTGGTACGCTGTCTCACACTTATAATTTCAACATTTGGGGGGCTGAGGCAAGAGGATTGAGATTGCTATGAGTTCTAGACCAGCATGGACATCCTTATGCAGTTGTTCCAAGCTTGCCTGGGATACAGTGTGAGATTCTATTTCAAAAAAACTAGCCAAACAATAAAAAGAAATGCTGGTGTGAAGAAATGACTGGGAAAAGGGCAGGATCCCCAGCACAGGGCCTCACCAGGGAGCCCCAGTTTGGGCTCCTCCCACATGGGGGAAGGGCAGATACCCACTTGCCCTGGGAAAAGTTGGGGGAGGGGCTAAGGAAAAATGAAGTGGAAAGAACATATCCAAGCCAGGCTTCAAGCATCTGGGGACTGGCCTCACTTTTCTCCCAGGATCAGGGACCCCAAAGACCACTGCCACTGGATAGGTGTATCTAGTGACTGCTGACAGGCTCTAGCATAGCCTTCAGAGAGGGAACAGTGGAGGTGACTACATGTGCAGGACACCCATCCCAGGCGTTTGTCACGCTGATTCCCCATGTCCAACTAACTAGAGTTCTTGAAGTATCCCGGTCCCCAGCCCCCAGCCCCCAAAGCTAAGGGCAATGATCCCCAGGATGTGTACTCGTGGCACATGACCCATTAGAAAAGCATCATGAGATCCCTCCAGCCCCACGGCACCCCATCTTTGAGGATTTGGGGCCTACAGTTGTCCCCAACCCTCTGGGTTCCTCAGAGAGTGCCTTACTGTGTAAGACCTAGAGGGTTATATACTTCAAAGATTGTCCTCTTCACATGTCATCCCCCAGGCACCCTCCTTCCCATCCTTCCCACCCACCTTTCCCTCCTTTTGATCCCCAAATAAAATAACAAAGAACTCAGAAAATAGAATTTTAAATGCTTTATTAAGTTTGCAAGCGATAACAGGTTAAAAACAAAACCCAAGCACTGGATTTTGCCAGAAACAGCATGTTAAAGGGACTGAGTTGAGGCAAACACCCCGGGCACTGCTAAGATGACACAGACAGTGACACAGGTGACATATGGCATTCGACGCGTGGGGAGTCTTCGTGTGATGACAAAGGGAGGGACCCAAGAGGGGACCCCGCCGAAGACAATAGGAAGAAACAAGATGGAGGGCCACACTAGGCACGGGAGGTCAGGGAGGTGCCTGCATCAAGGTGATCTATTGGGGAGAACTGTAAATTTGGGGACACAGAGGGTGGTCGGCAAATGCCTCTGAAAGCACCCATCCTGTCGAGGCAAATTAACACTGGGTGGGTGGATTCCAGCCGAATGGGCAGGTAATTTAGGGTGCCTCGAGATCTTTTGGGTATCAGGCCAATTCACACTCTCCAATTGTAACAATTTACTCTTTTAGTTTCTGTCCAATGTTCCAAATGGCCCATTCTTCAGGCACTTGCAGAGGAACCCTCTATGCCATGGTCGGGCTGACACACACCGCCCCCAAGGGTGGTGCCAGTCCTGTCACCTGGGCCCAGAAGCCTCAGGCCTCTAGACTGCTAGTGGACTGTTGGGCAGGGGGACTGCACTGGAGGCAGAAGTGGGGGTGAGGTAAACCTCCAGCCGCCCTGGTCCCTGCCACAGTCCTAGGCACCGTGGGGTGGCTGCAACGGCTTGCCAGACCCTCGGGCCTCGGGGTCCAGGTGACCCCGTGTACACAGCTCTCCTGGCTCTGCAGGCTTTAAGCCTCCTAGCTTCCCCAACTCCAGGCCTCACCCCACCCTGCCCACAGGAGGTCTGTAGAGCTCCAGACCTCCTGGGGACAAGGTGGGGTGCTGAGAAGTGGGCAAGATGACACTAAGGGCCGAGGGGAGGACTCCCCAAGTACTCAGAAGGCAGCCACTTGCTCCAGCCTGATGGAACCTGTCTACTTCTACATTCCCTTCCCCCCCAAATGGCAGTGGCCAGATGGGGGCCCCATCTTTGTGGCCTCCGAGCACCTTCCTAACACCTGAGGGGACACTGTCCCACGCCCCCTCCACTCCTCAGAACTCCTGGGGACCAGCCACTGTCCTCAGAAGCCAGGCCAGGCAGCGGCCTTCTCAATTCCTTTTATTTCTCTGTGGGTGCGTGGCCAGCACCCCACAGAGACTCCACTCCCAACTCAGGCCAAGCGACAGAGACAGATTAAAAACAAAAATCAATAAGGGTGATAAATGGCGGAGAGCAGGACATGATGGTAATAGTGGCGATGATGACTCAATGCACATTCATTACTTGGTCACTGCTCCCCTGTTACTTAGGGAGTGGGTACAATTGATTATATGCGCTTAAAAAGCTAGGGAGGGATAAAAAAAAAAAAGGAAAGACGCCCCAAGAAACAAAAAAGAGGGGAATAGATCAATTGGCGTAAAATTTGGGCTCCTAATTCTTCTGTAATTCTGCAAGTTGACCTGTGCCTCCTCCTGATTCTTCCATCCAAAACCTCTCTGGGACCACTTCCTACCCATAGCTCCCCCCACCCAGCCCCCACTGCCCCCCACCCACCCCTCCAACCGCCAGACTTCCCACACTCCCCACCATCAGTGTGAGTCTCCTGGGGAGCCCCTAACAAGTAGGGGCTCCCCAGGAGACTGACACAGATGGCCCATAGGTGTGTTCAGGGTAGGGGGTATCCCCCAGATCTTTCCTCCTAGAAACACACCCAGGTGTCAGACTACTCGGGCAGCATGTCTTACTCAGCAGTACCATCTCCTTATCTGGCCAAACTTATTCTACACTGGGGGAGGCCAACGCACAACACAGATACGCATTGGCCCACATGGTGGGCTGAGGAGCACTGGGCTCATGCTGTAGGTGCCCAGATGGAAGTGAGCCTTGTAGGAACACCTCCCTTCCTAGGAAAGATAGAACTTACAGCCTGATCATACACAGGGCCCACAAGCAGCAGCAGAAACTAGATGGACTGGGGGGGGGGGAGCTCAAACAATGCAAACTGCTCAGGGAATTTGGGGTGAATCTTGGTTTGCAATATGATTTTAATAGTAGCTATTCAGCCATTTCAATGTTCTTGTCCAATTGTTAGGGATATACATACATGTATGAATGCGTGAGGTGAGTGTGTAAGTGTAGTGTATGTGCGTGCATATATGGCGCATACTTGTGTGTGTTTGTGTGTGTGTGCGTGTCTGTGAGTCTGTAGGGATGTGTATAAATGTGCTTTTTTTTAGGTAGGTACAGAAAAGTGAGAATTTTGGGATTTGGGGGCTTGTGCCAATTAAGTTTTGTTTCCAGTTTTGATGTTCTATTCCTATCCTTGGGTTATTTCACTCAGCCCCATGGTGACATGGTGGCATTTGTGATGGAATGGCCAGTGAAGAAAGAGTTTGGGTGGCTGCTGTTGTTCTCAGCCAGCTTACAATAAAAGCACCCTATGTGAGTGGTGATAAGGAGAGGGTACTGAAGCAATGACATGCCACCTGCAAAATTTTGGGTCCCCTTCCTTTCTTCTTGGGTTCTGAGATCCAAGTCTAAGCCAATTTGACTAAAGATCCAAATGGGATGAAGAGGAAGGGGGCGGGGCGCCAAATTAGTTTATTTTGCCAATTGTTTCTAAGCCAATTAATTTTTAGTATGTTTTTAGCCAATTGATTTTTTTTTTGTTATTTAATTTTTAAATGAACAGTTCTGGTGTTTCTAAAAATCCAATTTGTTTTAAAGGGGACTGAATGTTTTAAAGTTTTTTGGGGTTTTTTTTTTAAGAATTTAAGAATAATTTTTGGGGGGGTCACTTGGATTGTTTAGAGCCAATCAATTTGGTTTTGGTTTTGAAGAGCTGCCCGATGGTGTGGGGCAGGGGGAGTAGCCTGATGTGGGGAGGCGGGGCATGGGGGTAGGTGGGGAGAAGCCTAGGGAAGGAAATGGAGCAGAGAGATCTTAGTGTGAGACGTGATGGTACTGTCCCTTGCTCAAGAGGAGGTCACAGAGTGATGGTACTACATTGCAGAATTACCAAACAATTTGGTTCACTGATGATTGCTGGACATCTCCGAAGAGGCTCCCCCGTGGGCGGGATCGATGGGTGGTAAGGCGATCAGGGGGCGGTGACGTTTGGCCTCTCTGAAGGCTTGGAGCTCTCTGGCGAGCATGCGACCCCGGCGGGCACGCAGGAGGGCAGGCAGGCCTCTGCGCAGGCGCTGGACGGACTGTCTCCAGGTGTCGTATTGGAAAAACTTGCCCACGGGGTATCTGGGGAAGTCGTCCTTAAGAGGAGGCGCTAGTCAGCAGGTGTCAGGGTATCATGTTAGCCTGAGTACCAGGTCTCACATGTCCCACCCCCTCCCCCCGCCCTCATTAGAGTCACATCAGCTTATGGCAGCTCCCCACAAATATCTATGGATGAACTCCATGACACCCCAAATCAAGAAGCTGATGGTCTCTTTGTCCCACCCCACCATTTCCCCAACCCCACCTCACTACCTAAAAATTTGCCCTCTGTCCCAAGCCTCACCGGAAGCACGGTCGGAGAGGTCGACACGTCCCTCTCGGACTTGGCGGGGGTGGCACAGTATGTCTCCAGGAGGGCCAGGTCGCAGCTGCGGAAGCAGCACTCCTCCACGATGCCACGGCTGCGACGGTTGGCACGGCTTGAAGGCCTGCCTGGAAGTTCCACAGGAACAGAGTGCTTTAGTCAACATCAGCTGGGTCAGCACCCATTGGGTGTCCTCCCCAGCCCCCAGGGAAGACTGCAGAAGGAAGAAACTACCCCTGCCCTCCCACTAGGTCACCCTGCGTGAATGAGGTAGAAGTGTGAGCCAGGTGGGCCAAGATGCCCAGAAAGGAGAAATGAAGGTGCACGCTGTAGGACCAGCCCCTGGCCTCTGGTGCCTCCTGCCTGGCAACTAACATGGCACAGCCTCTCTGTCTCACAAACTCCATGCAGACCAGAGGCCACACTGGAGTGGTTTGGAAAACAGGGAGGAGGGAGAGGGTGAGCCCCGCAAGGGGGCCATGGTGGACACAGGTGTGGTCCCTGGACTTGGAGCCCTGGCCTGGTGCCACCTTGAGCCTGAGGGGCCCACCCCCAACCCCCAGCACTGAGCTGAGACAGAGAAGATAGGGTAGGAGAGAACAAGACGGGAGGGGAGGAGTGAGGCACCCAAAACCAACTCCCTTCTCTTCTCCCGTCTTCCTTCTCTTCCCCCACGCACTCAGGTCTGTGGCTGGGTTGGGGGGTAGAGCCACTGAAGGCTACACCTTGGACCCTTCTATTCTGGAAGCCCCCCCCCCTTTGTTCAGGAGTGGCTCCCGGAGCAAGGGCTGGTCCTGCAGTGTCAGAGGGCGCAGAGAAGCCAGGTGGCTGGCGGGGGCTTCAGAGTGACCAGGAGCAGGAGTGGTTTCCAGAGGTTTGAAGTGGGAGTACACTCAGAGCAGTTCACAGGCAGGTAGGTAGAAGTGCAGAAGAGGAGGCTGCGAGTCCAGGACCAGGTGAGGAAGATAGAATGGCCCATGCCAGCAAGGAGAGTCATCCATTCTGGTGCCCCTGCCCTCCCAGGCATGCCCCACCTGGCTGTTCCCCATTGCTGTCTTCTGCAAGCAGGGAGCCCATGCCCAGCCCCCACCCCCACCCCCAGGCTGGGAAACCAAGAGAAGGCGTGAGCAATACTAAAAGCAGATAAGCAGCCCATGTTGTAGCTCTCTCAACCTGGCCAAGACCCGATGACCACATTTGGTTTTACTTTTATTAACTATCGGACTTTAAGTGTGAGACCACAGCCCTCCCCAAGTGGGAGGGGGTAAAGTAAGCCCAAGGCCAAATCAGCATATCTTAACTGTCACCCCACCCACAGAGGCCTGATTCTTCCCTTCCCCTCACCCCATGTGTCTGGAGTTACTTACTGAAGTAAAAGCCGCGGTCCGAACAGACAAACTGAAGCGTGTCAACAAGCTCCCCACCGCACAGGGTCTCGCTGGGGCGGTAAGCAGCAATGCAGCACGAGGCGAAGGCCAAAGAGATGAGAAGCACCAACATCGACTTCCCCATTGGGATCCCCATTGGTATCTGGAAAAAGAGATGCAGGCTTTGAGTTAGAGGTCCCAAGCCACACCCATGGTCTCAAGATGCTCCTCTCCATCAAAGACACCTATCATCTCTTAATTGAAAATGCAATTGAAATTTGAAAGGCAGTGTTCTCATTATTTACTTGACCTGCAAAAACAGGAGCACTTGAATTGCAGAGGTGACAAAGCACTTGAGCGTGGAGAAACTCAATGGGGCCAGGAAGGAACCCCGTGGTGGCTTTGAACTGTAAGAAACCCTCAAGGACCACCCACCCACAGGCGCAATTGTAGCTTGACCACACCCACAGCAGCAAGGGCCAGTGCTGGACACTGGACACTGGACCTGGTTTCCATGTTATGACATCATGGGGGTGGGGCCAGCCCAAGGGCACATCACCATTGCCACTCCTACTCTGGCCTCAAAGTGCTGGCCAAGATGGCAGATAGCTCCACCCCACCCACCGTGGAGCATGTGCATCCAAAGGGACCAGTCGCCAACCTCCCTGCCCCCCCCAGCTGGCCACCCCTCCCTAAGCAGCAGAGCCAGCTCCACCCGTCCAACCCCCACTCCCAGGCCATGCTAAGCAGGGCCCAGGTCAAGAATTCAATGGTTAGTGCAATGGGACTGCTGGCACTCCTGTGAGCCTTGCTCTCCAGGGTCACCCGGTCCTCCGAGTCCAGACTTTCCTGGGCACCTCAGACTTCAAGACAAAGCCTGGAGTCCCTTACCGGGCCTCAACTCTTTCTATCTAGAGTCAGGGGCCCTGGAGAGTCCCTCTATGGCCCATAGGTTCATCTTCCTGATAGGAACTAAATTCTACTCAGGGTACTAGAGACAGCAGTTCGGGTCCCTGGGGGGGCTGAACACTCCAGCATGGAAGGACACACCCCCTCCAAAGGCCAAAGATCGATCGAGTGGCCACAGGCTGGGGCAATGGTTAGTTAGTTTCTTTAGGGACGAGAGGCCATCATGGCTCACAGTAAGCCACCCTTGACCCTCAGAAAGTAGAACCCTCCAGGCCGCTGCCCCAGCCTCTGCTCCACAGGCCCAGAAAAGGATTTGGTGCTGCAAAGAAAACATGTGAGAGACCAATGCAGAATAGTCAAGAAACAAACTTGTTTGAGCTCCTGGGGAACTAAAAAGCACCTTTGCCCACCCCCTCTCGAAGACCCAGACCCACCGCCCAACGCCCTTTATGCTACTACCACCGCTTGCGATCAGCCAGCCATGGCTGCAGCGGTTAGTCCTGGGGTGGGGGGTGTCAGACAGAGCTGACTTCGAAGTCCCTTCCCAAAGCTGGCTCCAGGTCCAGCCCAAGTGGCTAGCAGAAACAGGCAGAAGGCTGACCAAGAGGTAAGGGATAGGTGAGGGTCCAGGGAAGGCCCAAATCTGCAGGAAGGGGCAGGCGGAGGGGAAGGAAAAGGAGAGAATAGGGCAGGTGAGGAAGCTTGGGGCTTGGGGGAGCACCGGACAGAGGCCGGGGAGGACGAAGGCTTGTGAGAGGCAGCAGGCCCGGCTGCAAAGGCAGAGGCCCCAGGCTAGCCGGTGCCCTGACCACCCCACGGGGCAGGCCGGAGCAGGATGGCAGCAGGGTCCTGGCTCCACGGCCCTGGTTACCTGAAGTTGGATAAGGAGGCCGCTGGGGCTGGAAGAGGAGGAAGACAGGAAAAGGCTGGAAGGCTCTCACAGGAGAAGCTAATGTCCAGTTTGCGAGCTGGTCAGTGCCTCGGCTTTTATGTCTGAGTCGGCTCCTCCCAGTCCCGGCTCCACCCTACCCCTACCCCCCTCCCTACTGACCACTCCCCCCCGCCCCCTTTGCACCCGCCCCCTCCCTCCTTTCAGCCAGTCCCCTCTCTCCTGCACCCCCAACAGCTAGCCTTGGTCCACTCTTTAGCAAAGCACCAAAGTGGGAGGGGGGCCTCATCGTGCGCCCCCAGCCCTCTCTGCACAGACTAATGGGGGCGGGGAGGGGGCTCCTTCCCACATCCTCCCATGGAAAGTTCCACCCAGTAAAAGGCAGGGGCAGTTATTCCTGTTTAGATTGTAACATTTTTGCTCTTCCAAGCCCGAAACCCGCCCCTCTCCCCACATTCCAGGTTGGGAATGTTGGGGATAGAATTGGGGTGTGCTTGTGTGTGTGTGTGTGGGGGAAACAGAGAACTGTGGCGTCTGGATTGATTGTCTGTCTCCTTTGCCAATTTGGGGGGGCTCCTGGCCCCGCCCATCCACTTTTCTTCTCTCAGTCTCATTGGCACCAAGTCAACATACCAGGGTGGGCTTCAGAGACTCTACCCCCCTCCTCATCACTCAGCACCCTGGGGGGACAGGGCCTGCACAATACGAATCAAACATTTTAAAGCCGCTTATTCCTCCTCCCCAATACGCACCAAAGAACCAGAAGTCTCCAGTGAGTTCAACTTACACACCCCCTCCCCACTAGTCCCCAGACCCCTGCCCCCTCCCCCACCCAACGGCGCAAGGGGGAGCGCGAGTTTGCAGAGGGAACGGCCCCCAGCCCCCAACCCGGACCGCACCAGTCCCACCAAGCCCAGGCTAGGCCCTGCGCACCCGCCTGGGGCGCCTGAGAGCCCTTACCTGGAAGCCGGCGACGCTGCTGCCCATCTCCCTGCTGCGAGTATGCAAACCAAACAGCGGGCGAAGGCCCTTCTGCCGGGCACTCCTCTGCCAGCGCCGCTCTGACCGAGTCGCAGAGGCCGAATGTGCGACGGGACAGAACGGGGAGATGGCTTTTTGGTGGGGGGGGGACGTCTCTTCTGCTTCTTTAGGGAGGATGGGGTGTCTTAGGGCTGGGGCGGGCTAGATATTATACTTTCGGGAGGGGAAAGGTATCGGGAAATGAGGTCAGCTGTTGTATCAAGGATAGTGGGGGGGCAGAGATAGTGAGAGAGATAGAGTGAATGTGAAACGGGGGGGACCACAGAGAGGGAGAGAAGAAGAGAGGACAGCGAGAGGCGGGTAGGCTCACAGCGGGAGAGGACGGCACGGAGAGAAACAGAAAGCGTATAATTAATCTGCGAAGTCAGAGGGAGGACGTGAGAGGGGAGGGAGTCTGAGGCGAGGAGGAGCGGGGAGGGGGCGGGAGGGGAGCCTAGGAAAGGTGGCGGGTAAGTGCGTGCGCGGGGGGCGCACGCAAGCGGAGGGAAGAACGCAACTTCGAAGGGCCGAGGACGGTGCTGAGGGGGGAGGAATGGAGGCGTCACCCTGGCCACGGGCACCCAGCTCGGTTAGGGCCGACGGAGCCCTCTGCCGTCGTAAGCCCGGGCCTCTGGGGGGACAGGCGTGGCGGCGCCGCGGCCACTCGGGACTGCAGCGAGAAGAGGGGAGCGGCCGGGCTGCGCGCCGGGGAGGGCTGGAAGGGGGAGCGCGGGGGATGACAACGCCGGCGACCTGCAAGCCGGACTGCCTGCGGTGGGGACCGCCTCCTCTGGCGAAGCAGGAATGGGGTGTTGAGGTAGATAGAGGAGGAGGCGGTGGGGAGATCCGCAGGCCCGACGGAGCGCGGCCCCGCCGACGGCGCCCTGCGCGGGAGTTAGCAGCGAGGCGGCGGACGGCGTCGACGCGGGGCCGCCAGCCCGGATGGAGGCGCTGGCGGGCCGAGCGCGGGCGGGCGTGGGCTAGGAGGCGGGGGCGGCCGGAAGGGGGGGCCGGGGACCCGCCTGGCCTCACGCAGCTCCGCCGGAGAGCAGGCGAACTCTGGGCGCCAACGCCCGGCTCTTATAGCCGCGCCACCCCGCGGCTCGGCGCCCGCTCGGGCCCCGCTGGCCTTCCGCCCGCGCCAATGGGCGCCCGTAGGGCCCTCGCCCCGCCCCGGGACCGCCCCCGCAACTCGAGCCACGGGGGGGTGGAATGCGGGCCAGGGGCCATGGGCGCGGGGATGAGGGTGGGGGGGCGTGCGGTGCGGGTCCCGAGGCTGTGGGGGTGGGGGGGATGGCCGCCCCAGCAGGCCCACGAAATACCGGGTACCCGTTCCAAAAAACATCGAGGCCCCATGTCATGTTTCCGGGGTGCCCTGTCCTTGTGCGACAGGGACGCGTGGTGTGAACCGACGTGCGTGGCACCCTAGGCCTCAGTGGCGGTGAGGGGATCTGTGCTCAGTTAGGGAGTTACAGTTAGTGCGCGCATCCTGGCACACAGAACTCAGGCTCAGGTAGCTGGGTGCTGGGCCGACGGTCCTCACTGGGACCCTCACAGAGACCTACCTGACAAGGCCCTCACAGGGACCTACCTGACAGAGCCCTCACAGGGATCTCTCTACCTGACAGGCAGTGGCGGTCCCCAGGATCGGCTAGGGTGGAGCCCACAGCCGCCACCTGCCTGAGCAGGCCGGGCGGGCTGCGAGGCACCTCGAGTCTCAGCCAGATCCCGAGCGCCCCCCGGTGCTTCTCGTAGGATACCTGAGCAGCCTCGGGGGGCCACCAGGTGCGCCACGAAGGGAAAGCTGGTTTGGCCACGCCAGAGTTAGGCCCTGCGTGGAGCCCAGCTCAATGTCTGCACCCTTAGGCAGAGAAAGAAGCAGGGCGGGAAACGTAGCTCAAACCATACCTGTAAGCCAGAGCTCACTGGAGTGCGTCTAAGCAGCGCGCCTTTGGGACCCACCCAGAATATCCGGATAACAGTTCCCCCGTCCTCAGTGCGTTGAACTTGCGTAGACGCGGGTTCGGCCCCAGGGGCCACCACAATAATTTGGGGTTCTGAGGAAACCATCTCCTGGAAGGTTCGGATGATGTAAGAAAGCCACTGTGATTTTTACGGAGTCAAAACCACTCACAAACCGGTGCACTCTGCTCCCCACCACCCCGCACTGTGCACCTCTAGGAGTGGAAGGGGCCATCACCGGCGGAAACCCGCACACCCCGGGCTAGCCTCTGGGCCTGGCCATCAATCACCGAGCCCGCGCTCTGCGCACGCCTCCCCAAGCCCTAGACCCGTAGGGCCAGAGGCTCCCGGGGCTGGAGGCTCCAAGCGGCCAGCCCCAAGCGGCCGGAGCGCTCAGCGCCTCTCCCTAGCTTGGCTTTGCCCAACGCTCTGCCCTTCCAGCTTCCTGGCCGCCAGGCGCTTTCCCTATCACCGCGTTGTTTGCAGAACGAATAATGTAAAGTGGCGCGTGTTTCGGGGCGCCCAAATCAAGAGCGCCCCGCCACCGAGGGAGAATCTATCAGCCCGCTCCCGCCCCGCGCTACTCGGCAGCAACCCTGGGGACTAGCTGCGAGGTAGCCCGGTGCCTGCAGCCGCAGAGCCGGGGCGCGGGTTGCGCACCATAGGGAGCTCACCGCAAGGCCGAAGGTCGGGTCCGAAGGCGCAGGAGGATCCGAGGAAAAGGGCCGCCGGAGAGGCTCTGTGGAGCGCAGTGGACGCTGATGAAGGTGAGCGAGACCCCAAAGGCAGTCCCCAGTGTCCCGGGGCAACGCCCAGTCCGTTGAAAGACCCGGGGACAATGCCCAAATTTGGGGGAAACTGGGGGCAATGCCCAGTCGTTTTCCTGGACCAGGGAGCAGCACTGCCCACGTCCTGGCCGTCGCGCAGTGTCCTGAGCGCGTTTGGGGCACACAGACTTTTCCAAAAGCTGAGCTGCCGCCGGGACACCGTAGGAAACTGAAGAGGCTGAAATCAATGTTAAGCACAGGACAGGGGAAGCTGCCGAGAGTGGCCAGTGGAAACAATGCTCAAATCTCGGGGATCCCAAGTCAGACCCTTGTTTGATTTGCAGCCCTGTGAATAAGTGTCCCAAAGTAGGGGGACTGGAGGGAGACTGCATAAATGGGAAGACCGTGGTTAATCACTAAATTAGAGATCCCAGAAAAATTAGAATCCAAGTTGGGAAATGAGGGAAATTATTCCATGCAAAAAAAATAGGGGACCTTGTGATCCAGGCCTAACTTGGGGAACCCAACATCTTGGTCAGCAAGCTTGGGAACCCACAAAATCCTAGACTAATTTGTAGAAATTAGTTAGTTATTGTTGAGATTAAGAAAATTCCCAACATAAAATTTAGGGGAGCTTCATTTTAATTGCTTAAAATTGGGAGATGGAATTTTAGGGATCAAGGTCAATTCTTTTTGGGGTCGGGCGTGGAGACTAAGATTTACCCTTGAGGCCAGTGGACCTTGTAGCACCCGGGAAAAATCACCTCTGTAATTTCGGTGGCTTCAAAGAAGTCCTTCAGAGAATGGGGAAATGCTGTCTAAATGTGAGCGAATTGGGAGTGCAGGCAGTCCATTTGAGGAAGACAGAAAATCAATGTCGTTTAATATTTTAATTTCTTAGACAGATTTCAATTGGTCTTTTTGTTGAACAAGGGGGAAGTCTGTCTGTTTTCTTGGACATTGTTTGTGCTTGGAGAAAAGTACTCCGAGTTTTAGGAATCAATAAAAATTACCCAATGAATGTTGAAATCTAAATTGCAGGGAGTAGAATTAGCTAAAAAAAAAAAATTGTAAGGCACAGACATTTAAAACCTAGGACTTGGGGGATCTGGGATGTTTTTCACCGCGCTTTGGGGGACCATAAAACATTGTCTAAATTTAGGGAAACTCTGACAGGAGTCATAAATTCTACAAAATTCATTAAAATTTAATAAAAACCCAACTCTTTGAAAGAAAAAAAATCTCAATTTGTTTTGGAGTTCCTGAATTTAGGGGTCCTAGGAAAATAATTTCTGAATCTAAAGTTTCCCAATATCCTTGGAGCACTTTAGGGCCAACTACTACATTTTAAGGAATAAAGATTATAAGTTCCTAAATCATAAGTTCTGAGAATCAATGCCCCAAATTTGTAATCTGTAGAGATTTTGCAGGGTGACTTGGGGAGGGGGAGTTGAAATGTTAGAAGCTGAGTGGGTACATGGCTGGCACTACAGCGGGTGATAGCAGAAACTTTGTGTGACCCAAGACTAAATGTGTTTAGGGGCCTGGTTTAAAACATTGTCTAATGTTTGAGGACACTCAGCAAGGGCCAATGTGAGGAATATGGAGAAGGGCCCAGGATGGTACTGGACTTTACAACTAGCGTTTGAATTTAATTTTTTTTCTTTTTAAATTGGTAAGATAGAAGGACACAGGGACTCTGAATATTTTGTGCAGAGAAAATGCTTAAACTGCTCAAGCATTGGGGATATTCAACATTCTAGTATAAAGGAAATAGGCTTTGGCCAAGGGTTAATTTTGTGCCTTTTGTGGCCCAGAGAGACATGTATGACTTAAGAGTATAGAAAGCTCACGCCACATGTGAGCATACGCCTTAGATCATTACTTAGCCTGCTTTGGGGGCTTGCATGAGAGTATTTTAAAGAGTCCTAACTGTGGCCAGAAAGCTTGCAGGATCCCTAGAACCCCCCATGTGCCCCTTGTGTGTGTGTGTGTGGGTCTTGTTGAATGAATTTTAGGTGTAATTGGTGAAGGCAGTCCCTCTATTTTTCTGGAATCCGGGAAATGAGTGTAGGCTGCCTTAGTTGCCTACATTTAGGGGAGGGCATAGAAAGAAAGGCTAGAACTTTGAGGGTTCCAGGAAAATTGTTAAAGAGATCTGGGCAGGTTTCAACTTGTAAAGTTTGGGGTTGGGGCAACAGACTACAGAATCTAGTGTCTTATGTTCTACACTAATAAAACTGTGGGGCGGGTGTTGAGGAAAGACAACAGGGTCAGTGCTGCAGAAATAAAATGACAGGGACACGGGAAAATACCCCCCCCCCAACACACGCCCTGTGGATACAGCACCTAAAGGCTGTGACATTTTCCCGAATAAAGAAAATTTGTCAGAAGGCTTATGTTTAAATTTTAGGGAACTGGGGTAGGAGCTTGCATATGAAACTGTGAAGAGACAGGAGCAAACGTGGGGGCCCAGTCCACATAATCTATTTTGAGGGAGCCAGCAGAGGCGGAATTCCTACCTTTTGAAATGTTTAAAAATCAACTGTCAAGGGGGAAAAAAGATTTCACTTGTGAGAACAAACGCGGAAAGATTTTGGAGGGACGGGAAGGCTATGCTTAAATTTTGAGGATCTCAACGCCTGAGGTGCAGAGAAGCCGGCAAGTTGCTCTGGCTGCACGTAGACCACAGACAACTAGCGCTGCATTTGAGAAACTGAGCTCCGAAGACAGGGAGCCAGGATCCGCGGTGCCAGGGAACTCACACGGAGCAGGGGCGCCCTCACGGGGGAACACGGGTGCGGGAAAGGGGCGCAGGCAGAGCAGACAAGGGAGCACCCGCGCAGAGGAGCGCGCGCCCGAGCCAGCTTTTTTTTTTTTTTTTTTTTTTTTTCGTTATTTTGCCTTATAGTCACCCAGAGGCCTCCGGAGACGAAGGCCAAGCCGGACGGCGTCGGCGAGGGAGGGGAACGTCGAGCAAGCAGCCGCCGCTGCTTCCCAAGGCTCCCTGGGCTCCGGGCACCCCGTTCGGCTCCCCGCCGCCCCTGCGCCCCACGCGTTCAGGCGCTGCGAGCCTAGGCGAAGCCGCGGCGCGGCGGCCGCTGGGGGCAGGCTCGTCCCTGGCTCGGTTTGGGGGCCCGGGGCACCCCCAGTGGCCACCCCTGCCCGGCCTTGCGCCCCGCACGCGCCGATCCGGTCTTGCCCGCTCCCTAACAATTAACAACGAAGGAATCAGTTTTGTTTGGATAGTATGGAAAGAGGGAAGAAAGTGGGGGAGCAGAGGAGAAAGTGGGGGGAAGAGGGGCACAAAATGACACACTGGTGGCAGTGGCCAAGTGCCAGGGCCCTGATTTCGTTTTCTCAGAAAATTTCTGCGACTAGCCTCTCAGTTCTGGCTGGGGAAAGTCCAGTACCTTAAAGGCAAATATTAAACCCACACACAAGCTCACCGTGCTGTTGTTGGGAACAAAGCCACCCCCTCAAAGTTGGGCAATGCTGAAGGTGAAGGGCCACATTTCTAGCGGGACCTGGGGGTGGGGTGTTGGGGTGTTAGACAAGGGAAGAACTGGGGAGCAGCAGAATGGGGGAAACCCTGGGGCCATGACTGTAAGTACTTCTTGTCTCTATAGTCACCCATAGAGACACATAGAGGACAGTATGAAGGGAGAATTCTCAAAGCTGGACACTCTGGGGAGGCAGGAGTTAATGTCCTTGAACAGGTGTGGGGACCCAGGCAGGGTGAGGCATCTCCTTCACATTAGCTTGGCAAGACTGAGAGAGCCCCCCACACCCATTTTCCACCCAGAGCATGAGGCACGTGGGGAATGTTCCCCTTTCAAATTCCAGTCCGCATCAATCACCCCAGTGTCCTATTCCAAGAACATCTGGCCTGTCTCCCCCCGCAACACACCCATGCTGCCCCCCTTCCACCAGCCTCTATCCCTGGCTTTTCTGGCCTGCATGGGTGTGTGCCTATAGACTTGAGGAAGCTTCCAGCGAGGAAGACTGGGGTATGATGATTTCCCCATTCTGGGGGGACTTGTAAATTTGTTGGGAGTGAGGGACGTTAAAAAAAGAAAAAGAAGAAAGAGAAGAAGGTGTCTGTCAACACCCAGCCTTTGTGAAGCCAGCAGGCTACAGCCCTCTGCTGAGGGTCTGCTTTAAGGAGAAATAGCAGGCTGGCTCCCAAGGGGCAGCTGGAAGGTTTTCCACCTTTCCCCAAGAAGTGGCAAGGCTTGAGGATGAGCAAGATACTGGGGCCTGAGCCCCACTTCCAGAGTTCTGCTTCCTTGCTCCTAAGGGGCATCTGAGAAGGCAGCAGTAACAGCAGTGGCCTGTTTCATGGCCTAATCTCTGCTTCCTGCCCCACAGAGGTGCCTTGGAAAAGCCACAGGAACGCCCCAGAGCTGCACTCCTGGATTTTTGCCAGGTAAGGAGATTCTGAGGTCACCTTGGGGTGCCCACTGAAGAGCCACCAGAGCATGCAGGCAGGGTAGGGTGGAGCACGGGACATGCATGTTCTTTCCTGTACATGGCTGCCCATAGAGCCTTCACCTGGTCTTATTTAGTCCAAGGGGCCCACAACAGCTATAGAATGTTACCGAGTGCTATAGTTTCCTCTAGGCAGGGCTTGACCCACTAGACTTCAGTCCCAAGGGCACCTCAGTTGCTGCTTGCCCTGCCCCACACCGTGGCAGTCCAAGTCTTTCTGGGCTTAAAAGCTCAAATTCTGAAGAAACTAAATACCCTTTAAAATTCAGATTTACCCCTTAAGCCTTGCCAGAACCCTTCACCAGGGGCTTTGTCTGTCTCCCTTCAGGCAGTGGGCCTTCCTTATTCCCCATGTCTCTTCCAGCTCCTCTGTTTCCGAAGCTCAGCATTTTGCACACCCAGCTCCTCTCTGAGGGTCCCCAGTATGCTCTTGCTCATGCCCTGCCAAATGGATGCCTTCTCTAGAGGCCACACTCTGCTGGGCTGTGGATGTGGCCACCCCACAGGGACTCCACACCAGGAAGACCCAGGCAGTGCTCTGTGTTACCCTGCAAGCCTGGGAAGTTACCGTGGGAACCACCAATATGAGGATTGCACCCCTAGGCTGATCAATGCATTCAAAGCCAAAAGTAAGTACGAGTTACTGCGGGGGGGGGGGGGGAGGGGGAGGCTGCACTGCCCAGGGAGCAGCTGAGAAGGCCATTGTGCTGGGTGGGGGTGGACTGAGACCAGGACACTATGTTAACCGCTTTAGTGTCTGAACCAACACTTAAAAAAGATTTTTGGCTTCTCTTTGGCATGGGTATGATAGCCTGGAAGTGCAGTAGGAGTTCACCTGCTGGGCCCCACCCCGCCAACTCTGGGAGGCTTGTGCCACTTAAGACGTAGGCACAAGGACACAGACACACACACTGCCCACCCACAACCTCCAGTGCTCTGCCAGACGCTGAGCCTTTGCTTTCCTGATCCCCAGTACCTGAGCAGTGAGCTGCAGGGGGCCACAAAGCAGCAGCGCTTACTCCAGCGAGTCCGCAGTGCATCTGGCCCCAAGCCCTTTCTAGCAGCCTCCCATCCCCGTCCACACAGGAAGCCCACAGCCTCCAGAACACAATGGAAGCAGGACACGAGCTCTCCTAAGGCCCCTTTGCACGTCTCAGAATGTCTCTTTGGTCATTATTTCATTTACTGTTCACAGTTCAGCCAGGAGGCCTGAGACTGTCACACTTTGACAAATGGGGAGAGACACAGAGAGGTCAAGCCCCTCGTGCACGGGCACTACAGCTGCAACTGCGTAGCGGGGGAGGGGGAACAGGAACCCCCACGGCCAGCTTTCCTCAGTCTCCCAGTTCTTTCTCACTAACGGTTTCTTTTTCTTCTTCTTCCCTCAGATTCTTTTCTCATCTGGAACCTCTGCCTTTCCCTTTTGGGCTGGCTGACCTTAACCCTCAGCCCTTGCCACCTTTGTCCCCAGACTCCTGGGAGCACAGCTTCACAGACCTACAAGCTACAGAGACTGCCTGATGCTTACTCTGCCTACACCCGGTGTTCCAAGGAGAGGCGCCTGGAGCCCACCTGATTACCAGATACCAACTGTGTGACTGAATAGACTTCCCAGCCTCTGCCGGTCCCTTGGCTGCAGGAGACTTGGCTGGAACCCTGCAGGAGTCCAGATGTGACCCTGTGCTAGAGACACCTCTGTCCTGATGGATGAATGACGGACACTCACCTCTGGGGAAGGACTGGGGCTGGTGGGCGAAAGACTGGGGCTGGTGGTGGGCGGCGTCCTTTAGTTCTGGGAGCGCCGCGATCTCCGGGGCCACAGGCCACAGCAGCTGGCCTCGGGGCTAGACTCACGGGCTGCTCTGGCTGGTTCCTGCTCAGGCTGCTGCTCAGGCCTCGGCAGTGGCAGCGGGGGCAAAGGCCTGGGCCCAGGCCTTGGCGGCAAAGGCCTCGGCAAAGGCGTTGGGGGCTGGGCAAGAGGTTCAGCCCGAGGAGATGCGGGACCCCCGGATGGGGGCTCGGGATCCTCCTCCTGCACAATGAGCTGGAGCTCGGTGGTGATTACTCGGCCCCTGAGGAAAAGCAAAAATCCTTGAGATTATCTCAAAACCGTCTCCAGCTGAGGCTGGTCCCCCTCCCCCCCCTGCTTGCTGCAGGATGGGGAATCCTGCGGGTCAATTGTCAGCGCTGCCCCCCTTCCCGCACAGCTGCCTACCTCCCCCCCCCCCAAGTAGAAGGGAGAAAGCAGTTGGTGAGAAGTCACTTTGCCAAGTTTGACAACTGCTCAGGGAGAGGCAGGAGACCCTCCTTTGAGAAGGACAAGCTGGCCCCTTCCTGATTAGGGGTGGGCTTCTGACTTGGCATATGCAGGGATGCCTTACACAAAAGGATTTCTTTAATGGGTCACAGTTAAAATGATGAAAACCTCCCACTCTTCTCACACTCCCCGCCTTGGATGGGAGCAAAATTAAAAGGGCACATGGCTCTGCTTTAGGAAGGCAGCCTCTAGAAAGGGTGGTAGGGCTTCTCCAGGAAACAGCCCCCCTCCCCATAAATGCTATACTGGATGGATTAAAGTGTCTGGGATCCCAGTAGCAGGGGAGAAAAATGTTATGCACAAATGAATGTGCACCCGGGAGTGCTGCTACTGCCCCAAATTCATACTTGTGGTCAGGGCACACTAGAGGGAGGATGCATAAAGGGACTGGCATGGTCAGGAGAAAAGCAGCTTTGTTCTTTTAAACCCTGCTAGGGAACAGCCAGGGATACCATTCTTTCATGTTCTTTCTACTTACTCTCCAGTATCCCTGGTGGTCATTAGGAGATTTTATATATATATATATATATATATATATATATATATATATATATATATTCTATTATAGATATGCATGTAATATATATATATATATATATATATATATATATTTATATATATTTTATACACACACACACCCCACACTGCTCCAGAATCTCTGGCCCCTCTGCACAGTTGGGGGGTTGAGAGAGAGGCACGGGGGGGGGGGTTGCACCACGGGAAAATTTTTCACACAGAAAAACTTTTTCCTTGCACATTTGTAAAAGCAGCTGTGTGCTCCCGCTGGGAAGAGCAAGACACCCGCCTCTCCCCTTTTGCATGGTAGATTAGTAAAGGAAAACTTACTTTCCTTATAGCTTTGTGCAGCCCCGTAATCCCCTTCCCACTTGTCTTTCCCGTCCCCTCAGAAGCTGAAGTTACTTTTAGCCCCGTCCAGTCTAGCAGCAATTTTCCCCTCTTCAGAGATCAAGATCCTAATTGCCCCAAGTCCTCAGCCCAATTACCCGTACCAGAATATTTAAATTATAGTTGCACTCATACACAGAAGGAGTGAAAAGTCAGTTAGTTACCTGTATTCTAGTCGCTTTGTAGTCCCTGAAGTTCCCGGACGGTGGATAAAGAGGACCGGGGACTCGCTGGTGCCAAAGATTCTCTTCCGAAATTGCCTGGGCGATGATCTGCTGGCTGGGCCAGGATCAGCAGCCTCCTCCAAAGCAGGGGGTGCTCTGGCTGTGGTGCCCAGATGCTCCAGCCCGGTTGAGGAGGTGGAAGGGGACGAGGCTGAGGCTGAGGCTGAGGCTGAAGAGACGGTTAAGGGATCTTTTGGAGTTTGCATGATAACAGGGCCTCTAGAAGTGGGCTCTGCTCTCCACCACTGAGCAAGGCACCTGCTCAAATGATAACTGACTCTAAGGCTTTGCCCTCACCTCCTCGTCCCCTCTAAGCCCGTCCCCAGACCCCTCCAAATTTGGGAAACAATGTGCTAACACAGTGCAGCAAAGAATTCTGGGGCAGCTGACTGTGGCAATTTCCCCACTCTAGGGCATGGGGGCATTAGGGGGCGGGGCTTTGGCCCATGCCTGACAAACGGAAAGACGTCTATGTGGGTATAAACATAAGCTAGAAGCACTTCCTGTTAGCTAAGAGGTGGGGACTATGTGCAGGGGGGTGGGGGGTGGGTGGGACTTCACTATAATGGCACTTGGCAGTCACTTGACACCCTGGAATGTATGGGCGTGGCACAGGTAAAAAGGGGGCGTGGCTTATTTAAATTAGGAGCTGGGTTCAAAATAAATATTAAAATTACTTTCTAAGTACTTCCGGTGTATCTGTGTGGCACAGCGCCATCGTGTCGTTTCATGTTTCATGTGTACTCAATTTAGAACTCTTCTCTGTCATCAGTCATCTGACCTGGCCCCCTGCCCTCTGAGTGGTGCCAAGCACTAAGCATACTGGTGCAGATGGCATGTATAGTAACATTTGTTCACCCTTTTTTGGGATGTTGGTTGGCTGCGTTCTCACCCTTTTTTAGCGTAGCTGTAACTCCATTTAAGGCACAGACTGAGAGCTGACAGCAGCTGGGATAGGGCTCAGATACAAGCATTGAAAATGAAATTTCATTTTTAGTCTGAAATGTTTGTTCCTGGTTTTGAGCGAGAGCAGGTAGTAGAGCAGAGACTTAAAAAAAAAAAAAAAAGCTGGTGTGCTCCACAGAAACCCCACTACCCTTTGCACTGCATTCCAGCTAATCTTTTTATCTCACTCAGCTTATCAGCCCAAGCTAAGATTTAATTATTCCCTCTCCCTCTGTTATCCAAACTGAACTCCTTTACTTAGTGGCAGAGATAGGCATGTTTGGGGAGAATAAGACTTTCTGTAGGGGAGATGATCAAACTTTAAGGGAATTCATGTCAGAAGGGGGTGACTCAGCGTGCCACAGAGATCCTATTCCACGGGAGAAGGGCAGATGGGATTTCTCACTATGCTTGTGGATGTCCCCAGGTCATATCTGAGACACATAGCAGAGGGCACCTCACACTTCACAAAGGTGCGGAGTCTTTTCCTTGTGAAGATTCTACCTCTACTTTGGGGGTCTGTGCCTAGAAGTAAGTGGCAAGTGCTGCCCCCTATCGTATGCTGCAAAGTGCTGCCACTAGGGCCTTCTGAGAGCTTTTGGCTGGGATTTACTAAGCCAGAGAGAGGCTGGCATGGGGAAAGTGAAGGATTATTCCAAACCCATGAAGAGGTGCCTTGGAAGTGCCACAAGAGGAGGTGCCCTTTGAGCAGGTAGAAGGCCAACGAACTAGAAGGGAAAACTGGCTATATCCCACAGGTCAGAGACAGAGAAGCAGAGTTTTACCTCAAATCAACCCAAGCTCTGGTCCCTATTTTAATTATATATATATATATATATATATATATATATATATATATATATATTTTTTTTTTTTTTAAAGGAAGGGGAGAATGCAGGCGAAGAGTACCATGGAGGAACAACTAAACCATGGTGCCACAGAGGCAGGAATGAGGCACCAGGCACCAGTGAGAGTCACAGTCTGAGGAGCAATACCTTTCAGAATTATATTTCGTGGATGTTTCATCATTGAATAACACATTCTAGGGGACACAGAAGGGACCATAAAATAACACATATTGGGGTGCAAACAGGAAGATAGCACAGAAACAATCGAGTAATTTGAGGTTTTGGGAGAAGAGAGTCATCTAATTTAGGGGGATTGTCTGGACTCTCACTTATGGAAAACAAAGCTGAGGTACCCCTAGAAATTCCAGCATCTAATTTTCCTTGATAGGCTTGCTAAAGTGGCCTCATACTGACATCTGGTGGCTATATCTGTAATTACAATGCACAATCTAAAGTTTTTACTGCAGGAATTTGGGGTTACCCAGGGAGGCGAATTGGTGAGAGGTGAAGTTCTAACTCTTCCTCTCTCTAGAGAGACCTTCTGTAGCACCAGGGTGCAAGAGAGTTCTGTAGCTTTTTACTTGGACTTTTTTGTTTGTTTGTTTGTTTTGACTCTACCCTATCAGGCACTTTTTTCCCCCCATATCTTCTTGTCCTAGGACTTAGGAGCACCCCAAACTTCATAAACCCCAAACACCTTGAATCATCCATGTAGTTCAAAGAAAACTCACATTTATATTAAAAGTAATTTACCATGGACTCTCTTCAGATATAATCTCCGAATCCCAGATAAGAGGTGGGGGGTCCCTGGGAAGAACTAGGGTGGGTTAAATTTTGTTCTTAATTCCCATTGACAGTCCACCATCCTGCATCTATCTGTAAAGGGAATTTGCAAACCTGCCTCAAGCTTGTCATCTGGTGGACATGTAAGAAATTACACTGAAGCTTCAGAAAACACCTTTCTCTCCACAATCATAATTACAGGGTGCTTTATTAAGCCTTAGTGATGGAGGGAAGAAGAGGACAGGTGTTAGGGCCGGGGATGTAGTTCAGTGGTAGAGTAGCATGCAAGCATGAAGCTCTGACTCAATACACAGCATAGAAAAAAAATCCATCTTATACTACCTGTACATAACTTGTCCTTCTCCCCTGGGCGTATTGGTAGGACTAAGGCCATCTTCTCAAATGCTACAAGGCCACAGCTGAAAACCCAGGAAACTCTGTGTTTGGTGATAGGGGCCCATTCTATATACTTTGACCCTCTCTGCATCACACAGGAATAGTGAGCACAAGGGGTTGGTGACTGCCTAGGTTCAAATACCTAGGCTCATTACTTTGGACAACTTACCTTGAGCCTCCATTCCCCCTCCTGACCTCACAGGTTGTTTCTGGAACCATGTGGAAATGCAGCTGAAGCAATCCAGAACCTGTGGCCTTGAGAGACTTGTCCATAAAGTCTCTTCTACCTCTTCAGACAAAACTTTACTTCAGATGGGACTCTGGGATTTGGGGTGGAACACTGGCTAGTGCTTCCTTGAGAGCTGAGCTAGGACTTCAAAGAACTGCGAAGGCCTTCCTGCCTCAGCACACACAGTGAACCTCAGGGCCAGGGAATTCCTCATCTGCAGCATGGCACTGCTGGTCTCTTCCAAGGGCTTGCTCATGGCTAAATCTTTTCTCCCCAATCAACTCTAAGATGCATGGAGGCCTCCATCCTCCAGCCTTAGGGCACCCTAGAGTATGGTGCCTCCCATATAACCATGGCTATGCTGGGAGCATATGCAGGAAGTACATCAGCTTTCTTTTCTCTAGAAAACCCACATGGGAGCCATTGCTATCTCCAGGAGATGAAAGCCAGAGACTCCCAGATCCAAAACAGAACCTTCCACCAGTCTGACCTGCTAGCTCCCTGATTCAGCACCACTGACCCAAGGAGGCTAAAGGTGAAAGGGGTGGTATGAACCTCTTCTTACACCTACAACACACACAGCTCATACAATTTGTGGCCATAGTCACCTCTTGTGTATACCCTGGCCGGCCCATATGCCCGACCTAAGAGGAGAGCTCAGCATAGTCCAGTAATGGCTCTTCGCAGTGCCTGGCCAGGGGTTATAGGAGGCCATAGTGGACGTGCCTCAAGGCTCTCAAGGCTCTCAAGACTTGAGAGCATGTCTATTGCTTCAGAAAGCCTTCCCACTACTCACTTTCTCTTTGCTGTTAAGGCCTAACTCTGCAGTTGGAGCTGGGGTATCTTCCCTCTGCTGGCTCTCTGCCAGCTCTTCTTCCAACTCAACCAGCCACTCCCATCTTCTTTTCAATATTTGGGTCCAGGTGGAGGCTCTTCACCTTCTGCTGGTTCCCTAACCCTACTAACCGAAGCTACTCTTGGTCCCCAGAAGCCAGGCCTGGAGAAGATTAGTCTGCAATTGTTGGAGCACAGATTTGAGTGTTCCAGTGTTCCCCTGGTCTCCAGGCCCATTCTCTCTGCTCCTAGGTTACCAGGTGTTGCTGCTGCTAAGACCTGTGCCTCAGACAAGCTATGAGGAGGAGTCAGTCTTCCAGGTCCACAACAACCCAGGTCACAGCCAGTCTTCGGGATAGATAGGAGATCAGACCCAGCTGTACTAGGACACAGCTCTAAGTAAGGGTGGCCTTTGAAGAGCAAAGGGGGTGTGCCAGGGCCTCAGCGTGAACAGCTTCAAGCTGACAGGGCTGAGAGCTCCCACTCTGTTGTCCACAAACACAGATGGGCTGGGAGAGTCAGAGGGAGGTCCTGGAGGAATGTGGGTCATTGTCGGCAGTGGGGTTCTAAAGGCTTTGCAGGACTACGAGAAATGAGGCCTAATAGAAACATGAGGGGCTGTGGACATTCCAGGTGTGGCAGCTTTAAGACCCTATTTCTGTCATGGGCAAAGTACAGGTATGACTGGGAAAGAATTCACCAATAGTCTACAGATGGGAGCCATTCATGGCTGTTGGAACTTGACTGGCCTTGGCCCAGAGGTCAGATCTAGTCACTTTGAGCATATGGATGAAGCACTGGTGGGTGCTGCGTCACTGTGAAAACTGTCAGTCTGAGGAGCCCTGGCTTAGGTCCTCCTTGGATAGAGAAGCTGGTTGGTGACCTTATGTCTCAGCTCAGGCCCAGATTCAAGAGTCTGGGGCAAGGATCAGGGTCAAGGTGCTGGCTACCTACAGCAGAAGGGTGGCAAGTCAGGTGTTTGTACCACGGAGTGTGTGTGTGTGCGTGTGTGTGTGTGTGTCTGTGTGTCTGTGTGTGTTTGTGTATATGTGTGTGTGTATGTGTGTCTGTGTGTGTGTAGTGCATGTGGGTATATATGTGGGTGTATGTATAAGTGTGTCTGTGTGTGTGTAT